CCTGAAAAATAAGATAAAAACATGCATCGTGATGAAAATCTAAAACTGGGTTGTGTAAATTTCCCCGAAAAAGCATTGAATTGTACATTTAAAACAAGTGAATTTTATGGTAGATGGATTATATTTTAATACAGCTGTTAAAAGTACACATGAGACTAGGCGCTATGGCTCACGCCTGTAATCCCCGAACTTTGGGAGGTCATGGTGGGCAGATCACAAGGTCAGGAGTTCAAGAGCAGCCTGGCCAACATAGTGAAACCCCGTCTCTACTAAAAGTACAAAAATGAGCCGGGTGTGGTGGCACATGCCTGTAGTCCCAGCTACTCAGGAGGCTGAGGCAGGAGAATCACTTGAACCCAGGAGGCAGAGGTTCCAGCGAGCCAAGACGACACCATTGCACTCCAGCCTGGGTGACAGATTTTGTCTCAAAAAAAAAAAGTACACGAGCAAGCCTGCATCCAAGTAGATAGTGATAAATAAAAACAGCCACCCTGTGACCTTTCTCTGTAATTAAGACACCATTGTTGGCCTGTCACAGCAGCAGAGTTGCTTTGTTGATTTTGTTTTTGTTTTTTGAGACGGGGTCTCTCTCTGTTGCCCAGGCTGGAGTGCAGTGGTGTGATCTCAGCCCACTGAAGCCTGGACCTCCAGAGTTGAAGTGATCCTCCCTCCTCAGCCACCCAAGTAGCTGGGCTCAGGTGTGCACCACCACACCGGGCTAACTTTTCTATTTTTTGTAGAGATGGGGTTTTGCCAAATTGCCCAGGCTGGTCTCAAACCCTTGAGCTCAAGTGATCCTCCTGCCTCAGCCTCCCAAGGTGCTGGGATTACAGGGGTGAACCACCGCACCCCGCCTGTATTTTTAATTCCAAAATGCATTTTAGGTTAGGATTTAAAGACAAAATGTTATATCTGCCTGATGGATTATAAGCGACTATCATTTTCTCTGTAAGGTTCAGTTTTTAAATTTTTTTCTGACTACCACATATTCCTTTTGTAAGTTCAATGAGTTGTTTGTTTGTTTGTCTGCTTTTAGAGACAGGGTCTTGCTCTGTCGCTCAGGCTGGAGTGTAGTGGGGTGATCATAGCTCAGCGTAACTTTGAACTCCTGGGCTCAAGCGGTCCTCCTGTGTCTGACTCCCAAAGTGCTGGGATTACAGACATGAGCCACTACATCCAGCAGCAATTCATTTTTTTAATAATAAAGATAATTATGCCCTAAGTGCATGCAAAAAAGAAAAAAAAATACAGATAATTCAAGTGATAAGAGTATTTTTCTATGAACATTTTTAAGGCATTTGATTCATATTTCAAAATTGCCCTCCAGGAAAGTTCCACTGTTAGGCGCCCACCAGCAGTGTTCACTCTCATTTTTGAATTTCATCTAATTTTGTTTCAGTCTGCTCATATTTCTAATCTTGTTATATCCCTTTTTATTATTTCTTTGGGGTTCCAATACCTCCCAATTTAGTGTTCTCATTGAATTTCATTAGCAGCTGTTTCATTAGTAGCACAGACGAAGGATTAAAGTGTTAACTAGGATAGACTTTGACAAAATCCTATAAAAAATGTATGCTATTATCTTTGCATAGATCCTATTTAATCAAAGTTCCCCAGAAACCTCTCACTGGGGCTCATCTCAAGGGACAGAACTGGCCACGGATGATTTTCTAGACCTTGACCCGTGTGGTCCTCTCAGTAGGAACGCACATTCGTGATGTGTCCGGGTTCGGGTCATGACAAGGTTGTATGAGGTTCTGTGTCCTGTCCCTGCACATCAATTCACTGCCCTTTGCTTTCACTCTTCAACAACAAAGGAATCTGCCTTTAGTTTGAGTCCTTGATTGGACACACAGCCTCAGACTTCTCATGGTGCAAAATATACAGCTGAGTATGTCTATTCTGGAAGCATCGTGAATGAGTCTTTTCTTCGTTACTTGAATCCCAGTTTAAATGCACTAGGGATATTAGCAAGGTTCCCTTCTGGTATAGAACCACTCCCTCTTTATTTTAATACAAAATGTCACAGATTAAATTTGGTTGATGAAGTACGTACATATTCTCACTTTCTATTACCTCTATGAATAGATGATTAATGCAAAATATTGAGTAATTTTTAAAAATCAATACTGAATTTTTTAGAAATAATTAGAGAGATACTCAGCTCTGACATAAATGCCCACACAGTTCCTGAGCCTACTTCTGTCAGAGGCTAATCTATAAATAATTCACAGAGCTGACATTACTCACTCTATTGTGATCATCCTTCTCTGGAAGATTTTAGCAACAGTTCTGATATAGATTGCCAGTTATCAGTACTTGGTAATGCAAGTCCACTTTTAATTATGCAGAGGCTGATTATTCAGACTACAAGCTCTTCATGCCCTGAACGGCTCCTTCCTGCTGCCTGCCTTTGAGCATTTTCACTGCTCATTAGCACATATGCCAGAAGGTGGGCATTGGACAAGGTAGGAAGAAGAAACAAAAATCAGCAAAGCACTTCGGAGAAGCTCTGACGAAAGATTTTAATACAATTTGTAGAATTATTAACTAGAATTGAGTCATTTGGATTCCCTGTGAAATGTATTTACTTGTTCTCCTTAGCAACAGATAGTAGAATTGCCCACAGAGAGACATTATTCCTGTATTTAATGTTTTTCTTTTTAAAACATTTTCTTTTGGGGGGAGGAGGGAAAGAGTCTCACTGTGTCACCCACACTGGAGTGCAGTGGTGTGATCTTAGCACTGCAACCTTTGCCTCCCAGTTTTAAGCGATTCTCCAGCCTTAGCCACCTGAGTAGCTGAGATTACAGGTGCACACCACCATGCTCAGCTAAGTTTTTATATTTTGATTAGAGACGAGGTTTCACCATGTTGGCCAGGCTGGTCTCAAACTCTTGACCTCAAGTGATCCACCTGCCTCACCCTCCCAAAGTGCTAGGATTACAGGCATGAGCCACCGCACCTGGCCTATAAAACATTTTCACATAATGGTTCATATATTTTCTTCATTACATTTGTACCTAGACCTATTTATTTCTTTGATGAATTTGGTTGTTTGTTTGTTTTGTGAGACAGAGTTTTGCTCTGTCGCCTGGGCTGGAGTGCAGTGGTGTGATCTTGGGTTGCTGCAACCTCTGCCTCCCAGGTTGGAGCAATTCTCGTATCTCAGCCTCCCAAGTAGCTGGGACTGCAGGTGAATGCTACCATGCCCAGCTAAGTTTTGTATTTTTAGTACAGACAGGGTTTTGCCATTTTAGCCAGGCTCGTCTCAAGCTTCTGACCTCAGGTGATCTGCCTGCCTCAGCCTCCTAAAGTGCCGGATTATAGGCATGAGCCACGACACCCAGCCTGGTGAGTGGGTTTTTTTTTTTAAGATTCCTGGCATATATTCAGTGATATCATGATTATTTGATGGTTTTCTAGTTTTCCAGAAAACTTAATGCTTTCTTTTAAATACTGGTATCGTTTATCTTCCAACCCGTTTTCTTGGAAACACAATTTTCCTCAGGCTTAAACTGAAGCTACCGAACATAATTTAAGTGTTTCTGTATGCCCAGGGTTATCTTTGCTCTACATACTGCTAGGACAGGTGGCTTTGACAAAAACCAGCACAGGGAACACCTTTGGTTAAGTGAAATGTTACAGGTGTACTTTTAAAATGCTGCTTAGCCACCATGTTTTCTTTTCAGAAATGAACAAAATTTTAAAGTAAACTACTATGGGCCTGAAAAGAGCAAAAAAGAAAAAGACAGAAATGTTACAAATATAGTAAAACTTTTTTTTTCTTTTTTTTTTTTTTTAAATAGAGACAGGGTTTCACCATATTAGGCTGGTCTCCAATTCCTGACTTCAGGTGATCCACCTGCCTCAGCCTCCCAAAGTGCTGGGATTACAGGTGTGAGCCTACTGAGCCAGTAAAACTTTTTTTTAAATTTTATTTACTTATTTTTTCAAATGGCCTGCTCTGTCACCCAGGCTGGAGTGCAGTGGTGTGATCGTGGCTCACTGCAGCCTCGTACTTCCAGGCTTAGTGGATCCTGCCACCTCAGCCACCCGAGTAGCTGGGATTACAAGTGTGCACCACCACTGCTGGCTAACTTTAAAAAATTTTTTTAGGCCGGGCATGGTGGCTCGTGCCTGTAATCCCAGCACTTTGGGAGGCCAAGGCAGGTGGATCACAAGGTCAAGAGATTGAGACCATCCTGGTCAGCATGGTGAAACCTCATCTCTACTAAAAATACAAAAATTAACCAGGCGTTTGGCACGCGCCTGTAGTCCCAGCTGCTTGGGAGGCTGAGGTGGAAGAATCACTTGAAACCGGGAGATGGAGGTTGCAGTGAGCCGAGACTGCACCACTGTGCTCCAGCCTGGGTAACAGAGCAAGACCCTGTCTCAAAAAAAAAAAAAAAAAAAAAAATTGGAGAGACCAGATCTAGCTATGTTCTCCAGACTGGTCTTGAACTCCTGAGCTCAAGCAATCCTGCCTGAGCCTCGGAATGACAGGCATGAGCCTTGGTGCCTGGCCTGCTTCAAGGTATCAAGTTCAGGGTAGTAACTGGGTCACTTGTTCTATTAACCAATCAAAGACTCGATAAACAAAGCCCTTGACTAGAAAAGTCTTTGGGAAGAAGCCTCAACAGGTGCTGTGGTTTCTGTGTTCTTCCCTCGTGAACATTAAGAAACTATCTAGAACGCTCCCTACTGATCATTCCTTTTTTGTTACTTTTTTATAAGTTCTCATCGTTGACTGTTTCGTGGTGTGGAGACACCGCCGTTAGGTCCCAGGACTCCAGTGAACTTCGTGTGCACATCACTTGGCTTCCTGGGGACCGGAGCTTGCTGTGAGGCATGTTCCATCTGATTTCTGTTGGACCCTGCTGTGGAGCCATGACTCAGATGGGCTGCAGGCCTAGCTGCCCGGCTCATCGTGTGAGGAACAGACGGCAAGTCCAGGGCTCCTGTCCTGACACATCTTTCCTTTCCTCTTGCCCTTTCAGGATCTAAAGAGGGCATCGTTACTGGCAGCAGGCAGGTGCGCCTGGCCACGGGCATCTTCCCTGTCATCAGCCTGCTGAACCACTCCTGCAGCCCCAACACCAGCGTGTCCTTCATCAGCACCGTCGCCACCATCCGGGCGTCACAGCGGATTGGAAAGGGGCAGGAGATTGTCCACTGCTACGGTGAGCCATGCCTCTGCACTGCCGCCCTGCCCTTCTCCAACAGGAAAGGCACGGTGCACGCCAGTGAGCCAGCCGTCGGGCATGGGACTTCACCTGCAAGAGGCAGTGCATACTTAGGCCAAAAAAGACGGAAGGAGGGAAGGAAGGGCCTTCTTACTAGGGCCCTATTGTGGCTGAACTGTGTCTCTCTGTTTAATTGCTGTAAACTTCCTCTTCTGAAAATGGGCTGGGAACAACTTCTTGGCTTCTCTTCCTTCCTGCCTTAGCAACTTGGAAGCTTATTTTAGTATCTACATCCACAAATGTTTGAGTAAAGGTTATCTGTCAAATGATAAATAATTGTCCAGACCCTGTGCTAGGCTGAAGGTTTTTAAGAAGTGTTTGACTCTCTTGCTTTAAATCTTGGCTAAGGCTGATCTCTCTCCAGGGCCTCACAAGAGCCGGATGGGGGTGGCCGAAAGGCAGCAGAAGCTGAGGTCTCAGTATTTCTTTGACTGCACCTGTCCAGCTTGTCACACTGAGGTACACGAGATGGCTGCAAGGCCCAGGTGGGAGGCTTTCTGCTGCAACAGCTGCAGAGCACCCATGCAGGTAATTCTGTCTGCTCTACTTTTCCTGGAGGTCAGTTATCCAGCCCAAGGATGAGAAGTGTTGAGGAGGCAGCCAGCAGGGCCTTCTAAGTGCTGAGAGCAGTAACGCCATCTCCACTTAGCCAGTCATCCCCATGCACTGGTTACTCCTCCAAAGAAACCACAGAGAAAGCTTTCATTTAGTGATGGAGACTGTTCCAGTGCACTCTAGCCTGGGCAACAGAGTAAGACTCAGTCTCAAAAAAAAAAAAAAAAAAAAATTTAGCCAGCTGTGGTGGGTGCCTGTAATCCCAGCTACTAGGGAGGCTGAGGTGGGAGAATCACTGGAACCCGGGAGGCGGAGGTTGCAGTGAGCTGAGATTGCGCCACTGCACTCCAGCCTGGGCGACAGAGCGAAACTCCATCTCAAAAAAAAAAGAACATGTCACTAACAGCAGCCTGGGCAAAGGTGTTACTGTGTCTCATTGACATGAGAACTATGACTAGAGGAAAATTAGAGGTAGTTTTTCTCCAGCCATCTGGGCCAGAGGAATGAGGGAATGAGCCATGTGTGAGCCACAGGCCACACCTCAGCCGTAGGGCACTGGCTGTGGGACTGAGGGGAAAGGCATCCTCGTGAGAAACTGGGATGCTGTTGCCAGATGAGAAAACAGATACTGGCATTTGAAACACAGCAAACATCCACCTTGGAGGCTTCCCCTCTGCCAGGCAGTACAGTATTCTTCTTAGGGGAATCATGAGTGAAGTGCAGAGCTGGCTATGTTAGAAAGCTGAATGCGCAAACCCAAGGTCAAATGCAGGACAGTCACACCTAGCACCTTCTGTTACTTTCCTTTCTTTCTTTCCTTTCTTTCTTTCCTTTCTTTCTTTCTTTCTTTCTTTTTTTTTCTTTTCTTTCTTTCTTTCCTTCCTTTCCTTTTCCTTTCCTTTTTCCTTTTTCTTTTTCCTTTTTCCTTTCCTTTCTGATATGGAGTCTTGCTCTGTTGCCCAGGCTGGAGTGCAGTGGTGCAATCTCCACTTACTGCAGCCTTCGCCTCCCAGATTCAAGCAATTCTCCTGCCTCAGCCTTTCAAGTAGCTGAAATTACAGGTGCATGCTACCACACCCAGCTAATTTTTGCATTTTCAGTAAAGATGGGGTTTCTCCATGTTGGCCAGGCTGGTCTCAAACTCCTGGCCTCAGTGACCCACCCACCTTGGCCTCCCAGAGTGCTGGGATTACAGGCGTGAGCCATCACGCCCGGCCTTTCTATTGGTTTTCTTGTGACTTTTTCATAACCACTAGAAATGTTTGTCATCTCAAGTCCTAGCCCCAAAAAGACACGAGAGGGATATAGAAATGGAAAGAAACTGTGGACTAGACCAGTTCCGTTCCAAAAGTGAAATCTCAGGCGGCTCAGCGACTGCCTTCCTTAGAATTGCTGCTATCAAACCAAATTCAGTCAGACTTTGGTCACGATGTATTATTACAGGAGGCTTTTTCCCTCATGAGGCGAGAAACTATGGAGCGATCCTCTAATGTAAGCACAGGCAGTGCTGATAACCGACTCTGGCATTGGAATAAAGAGAAAACTCACTTCCACAGGGAGATGACGTGCTGAGCTGTGGCCGCAGGAGCTGTGGCCGCAGAGGCTGTGCAGAATCTGTCCGCAGGGACCACCTCGCCTCTCGCTTACAGGACCTTCAGCAGCAGGTTGGAATGGCCCAGAAGCTTCTCAGCGATGGTGAACTAGGTGAGGCTGGCTCCCTGCTTTGGTCCTCCAGCTCCTTCCCTTTTATTCATTCTGATCCATTTTGGACTCAAGGATACTCAGTACTGATTGAAGGACCAAATGTAATTATCCCCATGCCAGCCACAAGATGGCTATATAGGCCAGTGAGACCAAACCCTAACCAACTCTGTTACTGTGGTGCCCTTGAAAAGGGGCCAGATGACTTAGGCTGTTGTTTTCTTATGCATCAGATTGCTAAGTTAAGGCACCCGTGCCGAGCAACGGGTGAGCTCGGACATCCGTGAGCTTTGTGCAATTCCAGAAGTTCAGCGTCATTTATGTTAATTCCAGGGCTTAGTGACGTGACTGCCTAGAAGGGTGGGTCTGCCCTCATCAGAGCTCTTCTCTTCTAGAGAGCAGCGGGGCATGAGCCCAACTGATAAGAGTGTCTTGCTTTTTCCAGAAAGGCAGTTGCAGAGGTCCCCATTACCCTTGAAAACTCTACCTTAGAGCTTGACATTGTGGAGTGTACTGACCTTGCTCTATGAACGTTGACCTTCAGCTTAGATCTCAGGGTCAGGAGAAACCCTGGCCATACGTGGAGGGTAGAGGTGGTCGTGTTGGAAGGCTGATGCTGAAAATCCAGGGCAAATGTGGGGAGGTCTCCCCTGGTGCCTCTCTCCACTGACAGAAAAGAGAACAGCAGCTTTATTGGAACGGACATCGGGGGCTGGTCACAACCCAGGGAGGCCAAGGGGAATTTCCACATTCAACGCAGCTGATTGAGAATTTGAGACCTGGGTTCTCGTTTCTAGGGGTGGGCTTATGTGTATAATGAGGCATCTTTCCTCTGAATTGACAGAGCCAGCCATTCAGCAGCTGTTGGGGTGTCAGCGTGATGCCGAGAGCTTCCTGTCAGCAGAGCACACCGTGCTGGGAGAGATTGAGGATGGCCTGGCCCAGGCCTGTGCTGCCTTAGGTATGGCTCGGCCTCCATGTTCTGCCTCAGGAACACGTCTGCCCTGGGTGCCTCATCGTGGCCCAGCCTTGTCTACTTGGTTATCCCCCACTCTGCAAACTGAGGCTGTTGTCCTGTCATTCACCTTCCTCACCCCCGAAAATGTGCATCCACAGTTGGCTGTGGTTCTTTTCTGGAACAAGATCTTTCTTTTCTCACAGGGGACTGGCAGAAGTCAGCTACCCATCTGCAGAACAGCCTCCGAGTGGTTGAGGCTCGCCACGGGCCGTCCAGTGTTGAAATGGGCCATGAGCTCTTCAAGCTGGCCCAGATCTTTTTCAATGGGTGAGTCTTCCCCTTTCCCACTTCACAGGCAAATACTGTTCTTTTCCTAGGCTCTTCTGGGTATTCCTGTTTTTCTATGGTGTTTTTTTTTTTTTTT